TGTTGGGCCAAATCCACAATCAACTGCTTGTTTTCGATCGTACTGTGGTTGGTCCTGTGATACATTTCTAGACATCCTTTTTGCAACTGTTCCTGCCAAAGTTCCAGTTTCTTTTTGAACCCTTGTAATTTATCGGAGCACGTCAATATATTTTCATTCCGTCCTTGCATTTTTTTATTAAGTTCATTCAGATGTTCGAATATATCCGCCATGTATGCAAGTTTGGCTATCCAGTATTCATCATGAAGGTGCTGGCATAGATCGTACATATCTTGACTTGAAAGAAACTCACGCACTTCGTAGCGAAGTTCAAACAGTCGAGCTAAAACTTTTCCCCGGGATAACCAACGAACTTCTGTATAAAACAGTAAGGATTCATGTTCGCTTCCCATTTCTTCACAGAGTATTCCAAAGATTCGCGAATTTAAGGCTCTCGATTTAATTATGTTTATGATCTTAATACATTCATTCATTGTGATCGAAAGCTGTTCGGGCAAATTTTTGACCATCAATGCTTCTCGATGTATGCAGCAATGTGTAATTTGTATTGACGGATTTTTTTGTTTTACACAAGATACAAAACCTTTCTTACTGCCCATCATTGCAGCAGCACCATCTGTACAAATAGCAACGCAATTGGTCCACTGAATATTATGTATTTTAAAAAAATTATCAGTTACTTGGAAAATTTGTTCACCGGTAGTTCTCTCTGGAACCTCCTTACAAAATAAATAATGTTCTTTAATAGAGTCCTCGTCAACGAAACGTACAATAGCCATCAGTTGTGCTTTATTTTTAATATCGGTTGATTCGTCGATTTGAAGCGCAAAAATTCCAGCCGAAATGATTTTTTTAATTAGTGTTCCCAAAATATCACTTGACATATCTTGGATACGTCTTTTAACAGTATCGGCCGACAAAGAAACTTTACTCACGTCCTTAACTTCGTTTGGCCCAAGCATAAGTCTAACAATTTCCATGCATGCTGGTTTAATAAGCGTTTCACCGATAGTGTGCGGTTTTTTTTGTTGTGCAATTAATTTTGCAACAAGGTAGCTTGCTTCTAATGCCTTTTCAGAAACCGTAACCGCCGATTTCATAAACTGCTTTTGTTTCTTATTTTGATCCAAGCGCCGTTGGAAAAATTGAATGTCTTTTTTGACGCAACTGGGATGATTTGTGATCAAATGACGGTTTAGTTTGCTGGGTACCATTGCTTCATTTGACAACTGTTCACCGCAAATGACGCATTCAGGCTTTGGAGCCGCTTCGTCGCCACACCAAGTGAAACCATATCGAAGGTAGTCTTGATTGTACTTCCTTTTCAGCACCTTTTTTGCTCTTTTTGCAGCACTTATGCTGGAGCTTGTGCTAGGTTCTTCGTCATCTGCTCGTGATTTCAGCAAAAATTTATCCATATTTGAAGCACTATAGTTATTTATAAAAGTAGATACTGCAACAAAACTTAGTCCAGTTCACTTATTTATAAGGCACAAGAATTTATTTATATAGCAATTCACTATTTATTTCACTCTACGATTTATTTGTTTGCCCGCGTATTTATCTGATTCATTTGACTATTCGACTCTCTCTGAGTCTCTGAGCGACGACAGGCGCGCTTATATAGGCAGTGGCGATGTTCAGGAAAACATCGAGTCGCGCCTCGAACGGCACGGATCTTTCTAGTTTAGTCGCCTTCGAGAATCAAGCCGCCGCGCCGCGCCGATAGACGGATAGACGTTTACCATCGGCGCTGTTGTCAGATTGCTTTATTTTTCGCGGGTCTCGCTACAATACGAATCTGATTCGTATTGTCTGCAAGAGCGGCACACCTCAAGTCGGCTTACGGCACACCAGTGTGCCGCGGCACACCGGTTGCGGAGCACTGCTTTAGGGAACAAGTATGAAACGAGAATCGGTGAGTTTATCATTGTTACAATAGAACCAGGAAGAACAGGGATATAAATATGGTTAGAAGATGTAGAAGATCTAAACAATAGCTGTAAAAATGTTTAACTGATAGAACAATATGGATACATGCAATTAAAGCGATTCGAATTGGAATTAATCTAGTGGTGTTTTTATACACATGATTTACATTAAGAGTTACTAATTATTAACACTGCTAGAAATTTTAATTAACATTTCTAACTCTTCCAGGTTAATACATGGTCTTTTTTTTCTCTCTAACCATTTTTACACTATACAAAACACATTGTAATTTGTGCAATCCATAAATATATGTATTCAAAAATCTGATGTGTCCAACACATGACTTTCCTATCTAGTTATTACAGGCTTTTTCCGGTTATTTTGTACAACCTATTGCAGCACCCCTATAAATATTTAGAGGAGGATAAACTAAATATATACATTTTCCACATATATCTACCTCGAAACATTTTTCTTTAGATATTCATTGAAAACGAAAATAGTGAAAAATATAAATTTAGCACTTTTCCTACAATTTTTCCATTACGGTCCATTTTAGAAAAATGATGTATGAACAAAAATTATAAATATCGATAAAAATCAGAATTCTGCACATTTTGTCAAATTTCTCGAATACGGACCATTTCAGGAAATTTTGACATAAACCAAAAATTATAGATAATAATATTAGAAATAACTTTTATTTGAACAATTTTTTTCTCCAAACAGATATATTCCATAAAATATAAAAACGGTCTCTCATAAAGTACCCCCCCAGATATTCCGACTTTGTCCAAAATTTTATTATCTCATGTCAGGCTGAAATAAAACTCAAGTTTAAAATTGAATGTTTTTTTTTCTTTATCCGTCTTTGAGTTTTCTTCAAATTTCGAAATTTACACATTTTCTCAAATATCTCGTCCATTTTAGAGAAATTATGTATAGGATAAAAATTATAGAGAATTATATTACAAACAATTTTTGTTTAAACAATTTTTATAAAAAAATATTTTTTTACATTTTGTCAAATTTCTCGAATACGGACCATTTTAGAAAAATTTTGTATAGAACAAAAATTATAGATAATAATATAAGAAGTAACTTTTATTTAAAAAAATTTCTTCCCCAAACGTAAATAACAGATATATTCCATAAAATATAAAAATGACCACCTATAAAGTACCCCCCCACATGTTCCGACTCTGCCCAAAATCTAATCAGCTCATTGGACGCTTGAACAAAGCTTAAGTTTAAAATTTTGTGTTTTTCCGTGTATCGGTTCATGAGTTATGCGACACATACACACACACACACACACACACACACACACACACACACACACACACACACACACACACACACACACACACACACACACACACACACACACACACACACACACACACACACACACACACACACACACACACACACACACACACACACACACACACACACACACACACACACACACACACACACACACACACACACACACACACACACACACACACACACACACACACACACACACACACACACACACACACACACACACACACACACACACACACACACACACACACACACACACACACACACACACACACACACACACACACACACACACACACACACACACACACACACACACACACACACACACACACACACGACATCATCGCGAAAATAGTCAAAACGGATTCAGGGGACCTCAAAACGTATAAATCCATTCAAAACTCGAGGTCGAAAAAATTCCTATACTTTCCTTATATCTGTATACAGATAGGAAAGTAAAAATTGTTCTTGGAAAATACTGTTATGACTTAAATTTTGTGTAAACTATTCGAATGTAATCTACAATTAAATAAAGAACAAATTTATAGGCTTTAGATAATTTTTACAATTATGCAAATATTGATTTATATATATATATATTTTAAATGAAATAGAGGAAATCATGGGAAAAGGTGAAAAAATCAAAATTTATATTTCTTGCAATATTTTTATTAATGTAAAAAGGATACAAAGTAATATTTTTAAATTCATTACCAACTCTTCGTTTGTGTTTGATCAATACAGGATAGCTCATAATAGTCTAAACATAATCGCATTCCTACACTTTCAACATTAAAATTGTTCATAGGCATACTCTTCAGCCATTTTCCCAAAAGCTCCAATTCTGTAGGAAACCTCAAATAACAAGAACATTATTTAATTTAGTAATATTCGTTATGATTAACTTCAATTTTTTCATTTAATCGAAAAGTGTTATTTGTATTCTTGTATATGCTTGTATACATTAGTATTCCTATTGTTTGAGTTTGTTCCGACAAAATAGTTAGATCTCTTAAGAAATTATTATAAATATAATAGTTTTATTTACCTATGAAGAATATGGATACTCTTTTTACTTCATTTTCCACAAAAGAAATATGTCTTCATCGTAACTTGTTGACAATTAAATGACAAATGTGATGACAAATGGAAATAGAGGTATGTTAAATAACATCCAGTCCGCCATATTATTTGCCCCAATCGGCCAATTTTTCAGAACGTTTTTTAGGGGGCTATATTCTATCCAGTAAAATAATACAGATCAGTGAAAAATATCCTTTATTACTTACTTGCAATGTTTACCCCATATAATTCTAAAATTAATCACTAGAGAGGACTAACTTCGGCAGTAGTGCTGCCTCTATATTTCACGCACGGTCCCTATAAAAAATGTTTTAAATGTATTTTAAAGGATTTTTTAGGTATTTCAACGATCTGTCCAAATAAGTGCCTGTTGGCTTTGACAGGGTCATTGATATAATATAGTTGTATAGATTGTCTCGCAAGTGCTTATTATTCAGAATCAGTTAAGCAAAAATGTGTTTAAAAACCTAATCTCAGCCTTTGAATATAGTAAAAAAAATATATTTTTATTTGGCATCAGCTTATGTTAGATACTTTGAATCAATCTATATAACTATATAGCATTGACTCTGTTAAACCTAATAGGCAACTATTTTGTTTGGAATGCCTAATTGGTATTCCGAACGTGACATCAGTTGTTTTTATAGGCACCAGCAAAGAAAGAGCAGCCGACGAAGTATTATCCATGGATGAAGACAGAAAACTGTCCATTCCTAGCAAAGACATCATGCCAGCCGCCTTAATAACCAAACCCTTATTGCAAGCCGCTTCAAGAGCCAAAGACAAAACGAGAAGAAGTACGCTCGAAGAAACACCGCTCGTGTCTAAAGAGTTTAGTGAAAACGATTCGGAAACTGCATCTTTGAGCACGCAATCAAAGAAAAGTGACAAACCTGTGAAGAAAGATGACAAAGGAAAACCATTAGAAAACATTGAAGAAGAAAAGAAACGATAACATTGCTTTCAGATAAATTATGTGCAAAATTTTCTAAGAAATAAATGTTCTTTTATAATGTATATTTTTATACATAGAAACCTATATTTAATAACTAAGTAGTAAGACAAATTTGGTTCAATAAGTACACACAGGTATAAAATTTTTAAGACGAAACGTATATCTTACAACGAGTTAAACAAAGTTTAATTGAAACATGCACATAATAAATAGAGACCGCTGTCTGCTCGCCTCTCTACATACATCAGACACAGATATATCACAGCGTCCTCTGCCGTATATATGCATGTTACTATTATACTTTGTTCAACTCATAAGGGAATATTCCAAACCTGTATGTGTGTAGAATACCTACAACAGTTATTTATAACCTGGGTACTTATCTACAATCAATCTTCATTGCAAGAAATGCTATTTTAAGGGAAAATATTAGTTACTTTTATGATCTACAAAGGGCCAGAAGCGATTAAAAAAACTTGCTAATCTAAAAGAGTTATTCTTTTTTTAAAAAGAATTATAAAATCACACTAAAGAGCGGTATTATCAAAATAAAATTATATATTCTTATTGTCCCATCAAAACATCGTGGGAAGTGATTGCAGAACTAAACAAAAATCACACTAACAGAAATATCACTATAAAGAATGCTTATAGTAAATTAATTTAAGATCCTCTTGTATTGTCTGATTTGTAATACATTTTTTAATAATGTTCCTTGAGAAATAATTATATACAAACACTTAATTAGTAAAAAATAACGCTAGTAGTTTTAATAACAAATCTCTATCTTTAAAACCATGTACTGACTAAGAGTTGTTAGTTATTCCTCTTACTACATAGGTAAACTAAAAAATTAAATGTGTCCAACACATGACTTTCCTTTCTAGTTATTACATGCTTTTTCCAGTTATTTGTATAACCTATTGTATATCACTCCTGTAAATGTTTAGAGGATGAACTAAATACATACATTTTTCACACATATCTTACTTGAAACATGTTTTTATATACTATACTCATTGACAACGATAATACTGAAACATTAAAATTCTTCACTTTTTCCCAAGTTTTTCCATTACGGTCCATTTTAGAGAAATTATGTATAGGTCAAGAATTATAGAGAATGATATCAAAAACAAACTTTTATTTGTACAATTTTCTTAAAAATGTCAATTTTGCACTTTTTGTCAAATATCTCGAATACTGACTATGTAATTTACAGTATTTTAAAGTCAACAAAAGTACACTTCCCCTACCACATAAAAATAGGTGTTACAGAAAAATTACTTAAACAAAAGTTGTAGGGGGGAGAGGGGGGGGGGGGGTGAGTTGACTGAGTGCTTAGAGTCATGACTTTGAAATCGAAAGGTCTCAGGATCGAATCCCACCGGTGCACAGTGAAGTATAATATCCAAAATTCTGGCCACAAAGACAAAAACCAAAATTGGGCAAAAAATTATGCAACCCTCATTTCTTTAAAGTTGACTAATTAGTAGGTCATAAAACATCTATTACTACCATATAAATCATATCCGCTTGCTACTGAGCTTAGTTGAAAGTTATGTTTCGTGTGAGAACAAGTTTTTAGTTGTTGCTTTTCACCATAATATATATCAACATTATATATACTTTTGTAACTTTGTGTTTATTTGGATTGATTGGAAATTTTCACACCGGCTAATAAAGGTAAGTGATGTAAAATTTTTAAAATGTTTTTTACATTTTTTTAACTACAAAAAAAAATATATTAAAATAATATGTTTTCCACCCTCTTTCATTAAAACTAGTTATTATGTAAGCCTTTCAAAGCTGTGTCTGGGTCCGTCGAGCTTTTCTCTAGTGACAGTCATTATCTTTGAAATATTGACTAATGATTTCAGGAATAAAAGTTTCCGCATACAGTTGCTCTTTTTTGTGCTGATTTTTTTAAACAATGTTTCGAATTAGAAGACGAAGTATACTACAAATCAAATACTATATAAAGCTTACAAGACTCCAAAGCAATTTTTATTTTAAAAATAAATAATTTTATTAGTAATCAATATGTAGCACCTTGTAGAGGTATTTTTTCATTTGGTAAAGTATGGAGAAGTTTACAATTTAACATGTAAATGTAAGTTTAAACTTTCAGCAAAACAAAGCATGAGGAGAAAAAACTAGTAAGCTAGTGCAGTGGTCGCCAACCTCTCAATGTGTTGAGCTACTTTGTTAATTTTATAATAAACAGCAAGCTACCCACACGGAAGCCACGTAACGCAACGTAAATGAAATAATCCACAGTTAATTTATCATTATATGTATTTATTTTACTATTTAACTGGTAATACATAATACATAGGTACTAATAATAAACTAATAACAAAATAACTAATATTACTAGTACGTACTTGTTCATAGCTACATTCCTACCTACCAAACGAAGGTGTTTAAAAAATAAACACAAACTTTTATCCAGCCACAACGGCATGTCACGTAAGATTTAAAAATAGTTAATAATAACAACAAAGAAGTAACTCACTATCATGAACATAAACATTGAAAAATAAAAAAGCACGTTCAATGAGAAGGCTGACACTCAGACTCATCGATAATTTTTTTAATGTTTGCAGTATAATTTGATACAGCCATTCGAATACAATTATCCAAATGTTCATCTGTAAGTGTGTGTGTGTATGTATTTTTGTTTGGCACTGGTTTCAAAACCAACTGGCCAGTCAATCTTTAATTAATTTTAATAAAGCCGATTGCGATATTTGTTCTTAATAAACTTCATATTGGAAAAAGAAGATTCACATAAATAGGTTGAACTGAATAATGCTTTCACTTTCAAGGCAACACGGCATACAACTGAATATTTGTCTTTACTTACAATAGGCCAGATACATTTGGTACTTGAGACTAACGATTTTAAGGCTAAATCATTTTGAAACTCAATTACTTCCATTTCTGTTGCAGCGATGTCTTCGCCAAAGTTCTGCATAACACAAGTTTCAAACTGTTGGATATCATATTCCATAAAGGGTGAAACAACACACTGCGCTACTAAAGCCATTTCGTTGAAATCCTTAAAACGATTTTTGAAGTTATTCTTCAGGGTAGAAACTATTTCTACATGATATTTGCTGTCATAGGGTTCTAATGGATTTTGAGATATTTTTTCTGAAAGAATAGGAAAATGCTTGGCATCGCTGTTAATTAGGTTTTGTTCCCAAAACTCCAGCTTTTTGATAAATGCTTTTATATCAGAAATCATTTCTGCTAGTTCTTTGTCTCTCCTTTGAAGCTGCAAATTAAGTTCGTTTAATTTCTCTGTAATGTCCACGAGAAAACCAAAATCTCTAAGCCAGATTGAATTTTCTAGTTCTGAAGTCGGTTCATCGCGTTGTTTGAAAAATTGAACTATGCCAGATAGGACTTCAGAGTGAAGGAGTAGGTCCCCGTATTGACAGTCAACTTCATCGGCCAAGGTTTTGAATAATCTTCTTTGTAACGCTTGAGCTCTAATCTTGTTCACAATTTTTACCACCAGTTTCATAACGTTGTTTAGTTTCATGAAATTTACACATAATACTTGCTGATGGATAATGCAGTGGTAACAGAGAAATTGCGGAAAGTTTCATCTTTACGACATAACGCGACCAGACCCTTATCACAACCCACCATAGCTGGAGCGCCATCGGTTGTCAAGCCTACCTTTTTCGATATTGGAATTTTCTCAAAAGAAATAATATTTTTTAAATGAGAAAACAACTCCTGTCCAGTAGTGTGTCCTTTCAGTGGAATAAACTTCAAAAGATCTTCTTTAATCGTAAAATCACTAAAAACCATCCTGACGAACACGGCCATCTGGGCAGTGTCAACGACATCTGTTGATTCATCCAGTTGAAGTAAAAAATATACACAGTTATCTAAGTCAGTTCTTAACTGTAAAAAAATATCATTGCTCATTACTTCTACACGTCTCATCACTGTATTAGCAGAAAGATTTTATAGCTGAAACTATCTCGTCTTTATTTCTAAAGTTGGCAAATAACGAATCAGCAGCTTCTAAAAACGCCTGTTTTATCATTTCCCCTTCTTCATAAGGTTTCTTTTTTTGTGCAATTATCTGGGACACACGGTACGATGCTTCAGTTGCAGCCTTATTTTTGTCGACTGTTCTTAAAAATATTGATTGTTGTCCAATTAACTGCTTTCTTAACTGTTTCAGTTTCTCCTTTCTGGCGGCAGAACGTAGTGGCAATGATTTTTCAAAATTAGAATGTACAGTTTTATGATGTCTCTCAATATTTCCTTTTTTAGCAACGGAGACCGAAGTATTACATAACAAACACACATTTTTATCTTTAACTTCTGTAAAAAAGTATTGTTCTTCCCATTCCGAATGAAAGTGGTATGTCTTTACCTTCTTACAACTGCTTGCCATAATATTATTTTTTGTTGTTCTCTACTAACCCAACCGCTGGACGTTCGTTACGCGTTTAGTTTTAAACTAAGCATAATGTCGCCGTGCCGTGCGTTTTTATCCCGTTCAAAGCAATCCTGATCGTTCTCGAACACTAATGCGCTGGTCCGGCTGGTCGGTTTTAGCCGATTCTAGCTTGATGGCGTCAGCGGCAGATCGCTCACCGCAACGTTGCCGCTGTTTATGTTTAATATTATGAAAATTAGATTTTTTTTGTGGAATTTTCGGAAGCTTCTCTGATTTTTGCAGTTTGTATTTTTTAAATTAAAATCGTTGTGAGAGCTAGCAGAATTGCCTCCGCGAGCTACCGGTAGCTCGCGATCGACAGGTTGGCGACCACTCAGCTAGTGTATTGTATTTTATATTATGTTTATTTTTTAGTCATAAACGATGGAACAAGAGTTTTTTAGACTAGCACTGTAACAGCTGGCGCAGAAAGCTCCCCACAAACCTATTAAAAAAAGCTACAGATTATGGAAATCTGATTTTAAGAAAAAATGGTCTTCAGCATACAATAGAAAAGAAAAGTTTCTACAGAACAATGACGATTGGTTAGCAGACTCGAGTGAGAGAAGCAAACGCAGGAAAACCAAAGAC